AATACAATACGAAAATCATGCTTATTCAAAAGCGACCCAGACACTAGGTTCTTGCGAATTTTCGGCACATATAGCACATTGTTAAGAGTCAACTCCTTTCACGAGATCATCTTCAGAACCACTTTTCTTTGGCCCTTGATTTCAGAAGTCGCTGAATTTCCCATAAACAACTTCTCCCCATTTTCAATTGTTTCGAACGCTGCAAACAACTCCTTATCAGAGCACACATGCCTTGTAGCGTTCGTGTCAATCCACCACTCTTTAGAGTTTAAACCCAACATGTTCACTTCAGAAATGACGGCCGACAAATTCAGCTCCGACACATCTTGTACCATGTAGTCAACCACATTTACTTCTTTCTTATTCTTTGGCAATCTACACTCTGAAGACTTGTGGCCCACTTTGTCACAATTGAAGCATTTTTCTTGAATTTTTTTTAAAAAATCCACCTTTCGATCTTTGCTTAGTTCTTTTGCCACCGGATGGCCCAGACTTGTTTTTGTAGGTCTTACTACTTTGACCAAACTTCACAACATTGACTTTAGCTATACCAAGATTAAACCATTTCTTTTCAGAGCTATTATTGTCTTCTTCAATTCAGATTCTAACAATTTGTTCATCGACGTTCATTTCATTTCGTTTGTACTTTAAATAATTCTTGAAATCTTTCTACGTGGGGGAGAATTTTTCAATAATTGCAGTCACTTAAAAAGTTTCACTCAACATCATCCCTTCAGCATAAATTTCGTGAAGAATCACTTGGAGTTCTTGCACTTGACTGATAACTGTTTTGAAATCACCATTTTATAGTCTAAAAATCTATCGACATTGAACTTTTTAGCTCCGACATCCTCAGTTTTATATTTTGGATCCAAAGACTCACACAACTCCCTAACAGTTCTCATAGTACTATACACATTATATAGTGTCTGTTAAGCTGTTCATAATATAGTTTTGTACAGAAAATTCGAATGGTTCCAAGCATCAAGTGCGCTAATTGCTTGAACATCTCTCTCACCTTCATTGAGTTTTGGAGCAGCCTCAGTCAAGAATCTCGCAAGATTCAAAGTGGTCAGGTAAAATAGTATTTTCTGCTGCCACCTTTTGAAATTCAAGCCATTGCATTTCTCCAATATTTCTCTATGATTAATCGGAACATTCACGGTATGACCAATTGTTGTAGCCATAGTTTGACTCATAACATGACTTGACAATTTAGCCATAATCTGAGCTACAATAGAGCTAGGCCCTTGAGCCATAACAGAGCTGACAACCTAATTTCTAGTAGGCACATTTTGGGTCACACTCATATTGGTCGATTCGATTGCCATTTCTGAAAGTCAAACAAAAAAATCAGTTTCTAAATTTAACAGTATAAGAAATCAATTTTTTCTTTAGGAATATGTTTTAAGTTTGTTTGAATATTGTGGTATTAATGAAACAGGATTATCACATACTGTATATGCAGTTTAGGTATCGATTTTAAGCATACTGTATATGCAGCTTACCGTATTTGTAGCTTACTCTATATGCTGCCTACCATATTTGCAGAAAGCTTACCGTATTTGCACAGAATTTGCATAAACTATTTTTTTACCCATTTCACATACAGTAAGTGATTTTACACATATTTGCTAGATACCATATATGCAACTAACATGCTGGATATGTACTTACATACACCAAAATGTAGAAATACCATATTTGCATATATTAGTTAAATAAATACCAACTATTAAACTGAATGTTTTCAAATTAATTATTTTTCTTCAGATTTTTTTGTGACATACAGATAATAAACTGTAAAATTATATGAAGCACATATAACAAAATAAACTGAAAAATCTACGAAACATAAGATTAAACAACAAATAAATTGCAAATATGTAAATCGCTAAATAAATAAATCTGTAAAAATAAATTGCAAATATGTGAATTGCAGAAAATAAATAAATCTTCAACTCAAGGCCTGTGCGAGCACAGTTTACTTAAAACAGATTCGTCCCTTCACTGTAAGTGCTTGAGGTCTAATCCGAGTGTCTGCTTTCCAGGATACAATGGTATCAGTAGAATCTGAGCACTGCAGAAACTATTCCGACGAACTGAGTTTGTTTTCGAACAATATTACCACCACGATGTTTGACAGAAACTGTATACGCAGACAGACAGAACAATAATGTATATGCAGAAACTGTATACACAGACAGACAAAACAGTGTATTTTCTGGTGTGATTTTCATGTGTTACAGTTGTTGGAAAACTTGAGATTTAATATAACATAAATCTGCCATTAACTCTATGGTAATAAACGTTGGAATCACTTCAGTTTCTAGGAGTTTTAGAAGTTTTAGAAACTCAAAAGTCAGTGGAGAAATCAAGAAAAAATTTGAAAAACGTGGATACTCCAAACGGGCCAATTTTTGCTCCGTTCAGTCTGACATTCATGTAAGCAGGTCGCGCCCGCACACAAGTTTAAAGTCCGAAGGCTATTTTGATCTGTGATTTGCACGCACCTGAGCTCGCACATGGAGAGAACCTCAATGCTACACATGATTATACCATTCCAATGTACAACTATTTTTAAAGTGGTTCTTGCTTTCATATTTTTCTTATGTGGGACAAACCTTATTTTCCCACATAAATCATCTTTCAATGGTCATCTTTGAGCTCAAATTTCTCATTCATTCATTCATCAATTTTGGTAAGTAAATATGTGGTTTTGATGTTCTCATGGAGGAGAACATGGATCAATTTTGATCCTCCAAATTGGACCAACGGATCCCACCGAAAATTTTGTCAAAAGTGAGCCATTTATTCATTTTTCCAACAAAAAAGTTGGACCACCACCACTTCTTCAACCCTACTTATAGCACAAAATAACTACTCGGTCCACATAGAAATCTTGAGCCTTTGATATATCCAAAACCCTGGCTACAAATACCCGTGCAACCTTGTGATCTCATTCCAATGAGGTTTTTCATACTTCATAATTGTTTTGTATCTAGTGAAGGCTAGACTATTTCGCTACTTCCGAGATATAGACGATCTTTATTCAGTGGACCCAAGCTCCGAGACACTTTTCTATATTATCATTATATATAGATAGATTATTTTTACTATATTTCAATTATATGTTACCATTAGTTAATATTTTGATTGCTACAATATTTAATGGTGATTTTGGTTCTATATAATGAGAGAGTCTCTCACATCGAGGGGTATCGAGTCTTACTGAAAATCATTGAATATATTTAACATGGTATTAGAGCCAATTCTTAAAATTTTCTCTTGTTTTCTTAATATGGAAAAAATTTCTCACATCAAAGGGCATCGTATCTTATTATGTATAGATTATATTTATATGGTGAAAGAAAAGACCCAATCGTTGCCGCTGCTAGCGTTCCTTCCCATTTCTCCGCTCGCCTCTACTCATGCAAGGACACCACCACCACGCTCTCCACTGCAATTACTTCCACCTTCACCACGTCCATCCACCACCATTGGCCTCTGCGACGACTGTTGATCACCACAACTACGTCAGTGTCCATTACATACATACACCCTTTTAGCCCATGACCATCTGTATCCATAACTCGCTACCTCTATAACAACCCTACTTTGCCCAACCCCATTGGCTATACTTCTACTCCCCAAATCAGTTTCGTACCAAAATTGAGTTACACTGGCCATCGTATGCCACCTCTATACTTTCAGATATGCTACACCTACATCTTACCTACTTCATAGTCAATTCTCAAAGTGGCAACTATAACTCGTGAGCCCACTTGAAATCAGGTGCAACTCATACACAGCTTTACTAGTAAATGCCTCTACAGTTGCCAAGCTGATTTTTTTTCTTTTTTTGCCATTGGGTTATTCTGGAGTTCTATATGTTTTTAGGCCTTCTTATTAATCTGTGCGGCCTCTGGGATTTTGTTAATTGGGCTTGTGGGTTGAACTTTACGGTGGATTGTTAAAATTGTGTGGTCTGAATTTGTGTGAGCTACATTGGTTGAGGAAGAGAGAGAGACATGGGAGTACAAATTGTTGAGTTTAGGTTGCTCAGGTGATGAGCAAGAGTTTTGGTTGCTCAGATTATGAGCAAAAGTTTTGGATTCTTAGAGGGGATTATCCTTAGGTGGTTTTTGGTTTCTCAGAAGAAAATAATCTTGGTTTTTTTTTTTTTTTTGGTGTACGATGTTTTGTGGGATTTTTTCCAATTGCAACATTTTGGTCAGTGATATATTGCTGAAATTTTGGCCAATGTATTTGCGTTAGAGCTTTTGTCAGAACACGAATTATGTGTTAGGCTGAGTTCTCCCGATAGATAGAATTCACTGTATGTATTGGCACATTTCATGAATTTCGTTTGGAAATTCTTCTAGAGGGTGTGAGCTCTCTAGAGTGTCTTTTGAGTAGTTCTTGATTGTTTCTACATTATTTACTGTTGTTGATCTCTCATCGTCACTAATTTGAGTGGATGGTTGCTTTGTTTTGTATTTTTTCTTCACGGGCACAAATATTATCATCGTTGCAAGTTTATGATTGCAAATTGATGCTTGTACCAGCATCAATTTGAGGGGGATGTTAATGAGGTAAAATAAGATTACGGAGATCATTGAAGATTATGCTTGACGTCTATATTATCATTATAATTGTATTATATATAGATAGATTATTTTTACCATATTTTAATTATAGATTACCATTAGTTAATATTATAATTGATTGCTACCATATTTAATGGTAATTTTAGTTATATATAATGATAGAATCTCTCAGATCAAGGGGCATCAAGTCTTATTAAAAATCGTTGAATATATTTGACAATGCATTTGTTGTTGGTCGTGGTTTAGATCCTTTAAGGGTAATGGTGGATCGATTTGTAGTGGTAATGGTGGCAACAGAGGAGGATGGAGAGCGAGTGTGTGCAAGGGGAGACGGGGAGGGACGTAATGTTGGTGAGAAAAGTATAAGGATGATGCTATACGTATATAATAATGTACACCCAATTTTACCCGTTTGTTGGCGTCAATCATCATGGGCAATCGACATTGCTTGGTTGTGGCTTGGTATCTAATGAGGACACTAGAACATTCGTGTGGCTATTCCGGACATGGCTACAGTGCATGCATGGGCAAGCACCGCATGGGATAATTACTGATCAGGACAGGGCAATGCAGAATGCCATTGAGATTGTATTTCCGCATACGAAGCATAGATGGTGTTTGTGGCATATCCTTAAGAAGTTGCCTGAGAAGTTTGGTTATCATGTTGATAAGGCTTCGATCTTTTCGACTATACATCGATTAGTCTATGATTCACAGCTCGTTGACGAGTTCGAAAACGGTTGGAGGACGATGATTGATACGTACAATTTGTATGATAATGACTGGTTGTCGGGATTGTTTGAAAACAGAGGTCGTTGGGTACCGTGTTTCTTGAAGACCACATTCTGGGCGGGCATGTCCACAACACAACGAAGTGAGAGTATGAATGCATTCTTTGATGGATACGTGCACTCAAAGACCTCTTTGAAGCAATTTGTCGAACAATATGAAAGAGCACTACGGAATAAGGTTGAGAAAGAGTTTCAAGCTGATTTTAAATCATACTCGCAAATGGTACCATGCGTGACGAATTATGATATCGAAAAGCAATATCAAAAAGTTTACACTATCACAAAGTTCAGAGAAGTTCAAACCGAGTTCATTGGGAAGGTATATTGTGACATCATATCAGTTTTAAAGGGATGTCCAAATACGATTTACGAAGTTCGGGAGGATGTCTTACTATATGCCGAGCATAGGATGAAAAAGATTTTTTCGGTTTCATTTACGAGGGATACATGTGACATTGCTTGCAGCTGCCACTTATTTGAGTTCCGAGGGATACTTTGTAGGCATGCAATCGCTGTATTGATCCGTAATGATGTAACAGTACTGCCTAATAAGTTTATACTGAGGAGATGGAGGAGGGATGTAAGTAGAGCACATACGAGAGTTGCAATTCACTATGACGGGTTGATCAGTACTCCTACACAGATGAGGTATGATGAAATGTGCCAGGCATTTTCAGAGGTGGTGGATCTTGCTGCGGATGATGAAGCCCGAGCACGGGCGGTAATGGAGTGGATAAAAGTTCAAGCGAAGGAACTCATACTGACAAAGTCGAGTAATGGTGCTCATCGAAATGATGTAATATCTCATGGGTCGGATTCTCAAAACCATTTCGCCGTCAATGTACTAGATCCTATATTGTCGAAAAAGAAGGGTGCGCCAAGGAAACTTCGACAACGAGGCCCGTTGGAGTCGAGTTCGAAGAAAGTAAAGGTATTTTATTCTCATAGCCTACTAATTGAAACAAAGTTAGAATCCAAATTCTCATATACGCGAACGATGTACATGCAGGCAAGTTCAAGTTCAGGAAAAGGCAAGAGACCGAGAGTTAGACACAATATTGCGGATGAAGGCGTACCTAATGTTGAGGCATCTCAACAGTGCTCATCGCTGACACCATTGTCATGTTCGCAACCTTTTTTGGTATGCATACTTTTCAACTGTGTTGATATATTTCAAGTTAATTTTTTTTAATTTGCTTGCAGTCTTAGTCTGGGTGTGACATAATGTAGGGAGACAAGGGCAGCCAACAATAGATGCAATGATCAGCTTGTGGATAGGTATTTCTATATAACAAATTATGATTTCGTATTTTGTAGATTAGTGCTTGTGCTATGCTGTTCGTATTTTTGGTTGATGTTACGAATTTGGATTGCAATTGGGTGTTGTGAAGTGAAATTTCTACTTAAAACTAAAATAGCACTAATCATTTTACACTAATCATTTTACACATTGTGAAATTATTTATAATTAGCTTTTGGAACCATAAGTTCAGATAAGAATTTGAAAGAGAGAAGTTTTAGTCACTGTCTCCAGCAATTATGAAAAAAAGGTTTTTAACATTAAAGCCAGCATATCAAGCAGTTGAAGTATGTTGAGATTGCACTGAGGAGAGGATAATCACATTCTGCTTTAGCATTATTACTCATGCATTATAACTAATATTTTGGTTGATATGCTTTATTGATTTTATGATAAAACTACACATGCAAGTCTTTATAATTCTGTTTAACATGTTTAACTTCTTTAAGTCTTACTAAACTTAATGGAAATGGTTCTTATTTCTGTTATCCTGTCATTTGAAAATGCAAAATGTTGCAGATTGATACATGGGTTTGGCTTATTTCCAGCTTCAGTTTCTAATTTTCAGCTTCAGTTTCAGTCTGCTTTCCCAGTTTGATGGTATTCGATATGCTGCAAGAAGAAGCCGGTTTCATGTTTTCGTCATTTTCAGTTTCAGCTTCAGGGACTGCTTCCTTATCTTCTTTTTGATGCATTGGACTCCAATTTCTGTTGTTGATCCATTGAATTGTGGACTATTTCATGTAAAATAGAGCCATCTTCTTCATGGTATTTTCCCATGATGCATTGGACTCCAATTTCTGTTGTCGATTTTTCTGATTGAGTCTCTGAAACTCAAGTGCATATTTGCAATAAAAATTACGTGAACTAAATAAACATTGAGAAATGACCGTAGAGCTCTGAAATTTGCTATTGACAAATGAAAATAAAACTGAATTCATGTATTACTTATCGTGGTCACTTCGCTCCGACCAAAGTAGTTGCAAAAGTGCTTCAATGTGAGTTCAAAAAGTAACCATAAAACAAACACAATACGAATAACTCGTTCAACAACTAACTACAACTCAAACACAGTATGAATAACTAGTTCGCGACTAACTATAATTGAAGCACAATACAAAGAACTCGTTCAACGTGTTGGGCCCTTTCCTTTCCCATGATCCTCCTCACGTCCTTTTCCCTTGCGAAATGTCATGTTCACCGAAATCTCAACGTCTCGTTTGCTGGCTATTCGAGCAAGAGAGTCAAACATGGTTGGCAACTCTTCCAATTCCTTGTTAGCCACAACATTCACAGCTTCATTAACGATACTCGATTCTTCACCGCTTGATTCTTCATTTTCAACCCACTTGAAGTACCCGCACTCATCACTACAAGTTCGAAATAATCGACCCCTGTTACCAGTGTTCTTCTCAACCTGAAAACATTTTTGAGTTCCATGTGGACACCATGGGCATCTAAGTTTTCTCGGGCATTCCTTGAAATAATGAGCCGTGCTTCTACAACTGTGACACACTCCAAAATTCGCCCCTCTCATCCTGACATTCAGAACAAATGAATTATGAACAGAATTGCAAAACGATGCCCTGCACCTGAAAAAATATACTAATAGGAACTCACAGGATGAAAAATAGTGCAAGCTATAGTTGGTTCTGACTCTATTGGTGAAAACACACAGGATGAAAATGAATGCAACCTAAATTCCTGCAATCGTGGAGAATTCAAAATAAATACAAAAGTTTGCAGAACGTAACAGACCCAAATCATGACATTCAGTTCTGTGAATATCAAAATGATTTGGGTGGTGCTACACCTACAATTTTTTGAGTGACAATCATGGCCTTTCAAGGTCAAATTTTATCGTTTAGAGGTCCATTTTAACTTTTTTTTTTTTTTTTTTTTTTGTGAGTTAGCTTAAGTATATTTTTGTTATTTTTGAAAAAAAAAAATTAGTTTCATTTGAATTTGTCTACCAAATTAGGGTTTTACGTTGATTAGGATTCGCTTTGACTCTTTAAATACGTGCTATGAGATTTGAAAACCCTATGGCCATTTGTTGATTAATAATATTTTAAATTTTTCATTCAATTCTAGTATTTTTCACGTCCGTTCACGTGAAATTCGAACAAAACTCTTTTTCGTGTATTATGAGCAAAACTCTTTTATATTATCCAAGTTTTCGTCTTACCTCAATGTTTATATCAAAATAGGATTTGATTTGCTGTCCGAACATGTTCACTAAACGTAAAGAAAAAGATTTTTATTTGAACACGTTTGAATATTTATTCTTACTTTAGGGGAAAAAATCAATTTTTTTAAAGGAAATTGGATCAGAATCTGGTCCCTAACTTTTGACTTTTGCATGCAAATGTTCCTTAACGTTTATCTCTTGGCATGAGCATGAAAAACTTATGTGTTTTAGTGTCCAAATTCGTCCTATATTTCACAAAAAGACCACTATGCCCTCGGTTTTATTTAGAAAAAAATTGTAACTAGGTATCTAACATTTGGAAAAATGGGTCCTAAAATTTTATCTAGTAATATTTAATTCAGTGTACCAAATATATCGTTATAGTCGTGCCAATTAAATTGTCGAAAAGGAACCAAATACTCCATCCGTCTCAATTATATAGATTTGTTTCATTTTTCACACGGATTAATAAATCTTCTTTAAAAAAATTGTAACTAGGTATCTAACATTTGGAAAAATGGGTCCTAAAATTTTATCTAGTAATATTTAATTCAGTGTACCAAATATATCGTTATAGTCGTGCCAATTAAATTGTCGAAAAGGAACCAAATACTCCATCCGTCTCAATTATATAGATTTGTTTCATTTTTCACACGGATTAATAAATCTTCTTTAAAAAAATTGTAACTAGGTATCTAACATTTGGAAAAATGGGTCCTAAAATTTTATCTAGTAATATTTAATTCAGTGTACCAAATATATCGTTATAGTCGTGCCAATTAAATTGTCGAAAATGAACCAAATACTCCATCCGTCTCAATTATATAGATTTGTTTCATTTTTCACACGGATTAATAAATCTTCTTTAATGTCATTGGAAAAGTAATTTTTATCAAGATATTTTCTAGTTTACCCCTATTTAATTTTTCAGTATGTAGTAGTAAATTATTTTTGGAATTAGTAAAGAATTTGAATGATTTAATTTGAAAAAAAGAAAAAGAAATAAAAGTTGTTCCATATATCCAAGAAGTGAGAAATGTGTGTATTTGGATAATTTCATAAAGTTAGCATATTAAATGGGAAAAATTGAATAAGGATGTATTGGTAAAGGAACAAAACAAAATATTATAAATTAAGAAACATGCCTATATATTTTGGACAAGAGAAAAATGAAATTCGGCCTATATCATTGGGACGGAGGGAGTAGTTAAATTATCATGCTTTAAATGTATATAATTGCTTTGAAATATAAAAACTTGTAAAAGGATTAAAATAAATAAAGTTGTTTAACAAATTTAAATGCTTGTTTAAAACTACATAGTAAATTAACTGAAAATCATGAGATGAGAGTCAGTCTTGCCTATAAAGCTTCTTCGACATTGTATTTAACGAATCAAAAGACAGGTCCCGTTTGGTATCCATTTTTTTTTAAAATGTATTTTTCTTTTTCTTTTTTTTCAACCAAACATTCTTTATTAAAATAATATTACACGTAAATCAAAAACTTTTCCTTATTTTTCAACCACACATTTCCGATTAATTTACTATTCAAAAATGTATTTTTACATAAAAAGTCTCCCAAACACCATCGCATTAAGAGATTTTTTCTCATTTCTTGAAACAAAGACTAAATTCTCAACTGAGCTTAACCGATTCCAACTACCCACTTTCTCTTTCTACGACTCAGTATATTAAACAATAAACACCAGCACAGATACAGATGTCTAAGGGAAAGAAGTGGGTATCAAGAAAGTGTATTCTTGCAAGACATTATGGTCCATTTCTCAAGTAACTCGAATTTCAAACTTATATTGTACACTTTTACCTTGCACCACCCACAAATATTGCATATTTTTGTGGAAATTGAGAAAAGGTTGGGGCTAATAATATTTTTTGATAGGGACTGTAACATTAGTCTCAAATACACGATTTAAATAACGCAGGATCTAGTATGAAACTAAATCTAATATCAAGAATGAGGGCGGACTATATGTCAATATCAATGTTTTCTAAATAAAATAAAAAAAAAAAAGGGGGAAAAAAGGTTGAACCCCAACCTTGAAGGCCCCCACCTCCCTCTCCTAGAGTTTTGTTACGGAGGTAAATCGCGGGATGTACCTCAGCAGGCTAAGGAACAAGAGTTGTCTGTACACTGTACCTACAAAGAGTCCAATTCCATATCTCAGGGTGAGGAAAGCGAACCAACATGGTGACAAATCTAGTTTTTTGTGGGGGATTAAAATGAAATTTTTTTTGTAGATTTTAATAAAAGTTAATGAAATGTGGAGTTGGAAAGTTGTATGTCTCATGAAATATGTAGTTAAAATTAAATGTTAACTTGATTTTAATCCCTATCAAATAGGGGTCTAGTATTAACTATACATTAGTAGATAATAGGTTTATCATAAAATATATTAACCTTGGAATGGAACCATAAGCCCTCATCATTCTTTTCCGTAGCGGTGGGAAGCCGTTAAAGTGATCTAATTTGAAGAACTAAAAGCATGTTTAAATAAAGTTAAAATAAGCAAAAATTACTTTTATACGTCTGTACTTGGTTTTGCCAAAAATCAGATAATTAGTAGATATTGATAAAAATCGTAAAAAAAACTGATAAAATGTATGGTTGAAAAGTTGACTAAAAAATTGTGGGACCCATGAAATGTTGCTAAGTGTGTGAGAATGTTTTATTTGTACTGTTATGGAAAGATATTACAGGTCTTCTATAGCGTAACTTTCAATATTTATATTACATGTCCTCTTTTGTCTAATCTTTCTACTCTACCTACGTTTCAAGGTTTGATAGTTTAAGAGGGTATTTGGAAGTGATTTTTCACTTAAAAAAAATTGTTTTTTTTACCGTTATTTCACTATTTCAATCGTGAAGTTTGACTTCTTCTCTCATAAATGACCCTTATTTTCTTTTTAACGGTCAAAAAATCAATTTTCAAAACTGCTCCCAAAAGGGCCTAAATGAGGGGACAAGTGAAATGATGCCATTAGTTGATGGCCACGTCATCCATGAATAACGCATAAAATCGCTTTTGAAACTTGATACACAATCACTATAGTTATGTTAACTTGTTCCGGATCGTCAACTATGTTAGGGCATTATTGTTGTTAGGGCTGCCCTTCCCATCCCCGTCGTAGTCCCCGTATAGAGCTTTTCTTTGTGATTGGGTTGGACTCTTTAACTCGCTTTTTACTAGTGTAACAAAACTTGTAATAAAGCATAGTGTAGTCCTTTTAGAATTCTCAATATAAGATTGTTTATCCGGAACAAGTCTTTTTAGTATGCCTTTGGAAAATAGAGTTTGTTAATCAAATTTTTAATAATATCAGTGTTAGCATGAAATTTATCTTCACAACAAAATTCTCTAAGTACGCCCATTAAACCTTTGAAAATTGTGCATTGAATGGAAATTGAACGACCTTAATGCAATGATTATTTTGTGCAGGATACAAAACATATAAATGTGTTGGACTATGACACAAATAT